CTTAATAAAGTTGAATTCCCAAAGAGTTTATAACTGATATGCTCAGTCAGGACTTTCATTAAATGATAACAAAAAGCTATAAAATGTGTTGAATATTAAACCATAGTTTAAGGAAAGACAGCATCTCCAAATCACAGCATTTAAGTATGGACAAAAGCTTGGAAAAACATAGGGAACAAAGACTTTGCAGTCGGGCACATATAATGAAACAGTTGGCAGAGCATTAAGAATTTTTACTTTCCTTTTTTTTCTCTAAAGCAAAACAAATGGATAATCCCATAAATATTAAATATATCAGTGAGAGCAGGTGCATTTTATATGTTCAGTCACTGTCCTGTAAAATGTTTCAGACACAGACAGCCCTTTCTTCATTCCAAGCCAGTTTAAGTACAGAGATGTACCTGGTCAGTGGAAAATTGCTGCTCTACCATAACTCTCACAGAGACGGTTCCAGTGCCCTGCTCAGAAATTGCTTTTGCCCTTCTGATGTATCAGGTAGTCTTCATGCCAAAAAGCAATGGGTATTTAGGGTGGGAAATATAAGAAAATCGTAGAATAACTCATGCAACAGCACATCACACCAGCACATTGACCCTGATCTGCTTCTTGAGGGGAAGGCAGCACAGAGAAAGAATTTTAATGACAAACTTGCAAGGAAGTTATGATGTACCTTGGTAAGCAATTATAGGATACATGAGGAGCAGGCTAAATAAAATGGCTGAAAAAGAAATCTAATGAGGCTTCTAGGGGAGGCTTTACAGGACAGCTGCAAGCAAAGTCACTTATTATTCCTGCCTTTAAACTGCTATGTGACTTCTGACAAACCTCCCTAGTTAGGATTTGCAAAAACATCCTCAGTGGCTCAGTTTTTTTAGATATCTAGCTTGAGACTATTCAGGAGGAGTTGATTTTCAGAAAGCATATGGATTACCTGTTGGGAAAAGCAAGCCTCTTCAAGCGCTTACACTGGATGTCAACAAATTCAGCTACTGCTTAGAAACTTTCAAGCCACTTCTGATATTCTTGGGCTACAAACTCTTCAGTATTCCTATCCTTAAAAAGGAAATGAAAATGGTTTCCTGAACAGGCTGTTTTACTGCAATGGTTACTGAATATGCATGTGTAAAGCAAGGCATGAATAGTTACCAAAAGACAGAACACTATGAATAGATACTAAAAGCTTCACATAAAAAAATATATATATATGTCTTCAAACACTTATGCTGGAAATGGTAATTAATATAGTAAGACTATGCCATATATATACCCTACATATTTTTAATTCCTTGGTTTAGATGGTAAGGCAAATGTCAGGTGCAATATTCAGCCAAAGGAAGGAAGGAACCTGAAGATTACATAATGTAAACTCCCTAGCTGTATTTCTGATTGTGAATCTATTTATGTCACCATATTATTTCTGGAGGATTCAAAAGGAATAGAACTGCAATTCTTCAGTAATGTCAGGAGACCAATATAAGTAAGAGAAGACTCAGGTTTACAGATCATTACGGAGACTTAAGGAGCGAGTGCCAGGTAAACATCAAAGAAACTCTTTTCTGTGCTATTTTTCTATCCTACTTTTGACCTGAATGCTGGAGAACATTGCTGCACATTAGTTATGTTTCTCATATGACTAACAAGGCACCAATTATGAAGAATTACAGCACTGTCAAAGTAATCATAGATAAATTATAAGTAACATAACATTTATTAATTATTATGACTCAGAACTATTCCACCATCTCTTCTGCTGCTAGACCCACTTACAAAGTCCAGCAGCCCAGCACCCTGCAACAAGTCTATGAGCTGATAAATCTGCAGACCTGCCAAGTGCCTCTGTTACCACATCCATGGGTTATGTGAGATTCAGACTCCATCCACAACTTAGACCTCAGAATCACAGAATGGTTGAGGTTGGAAGGGACCTCTAGAGATCATCTAGTCCAACTTTCCTGCTCCAGCAGGGACACCCAGAGCACGGGGCACAGGGCGGCATCCAGGTGGGTTTGGAGACCTCCACAGAAGGAGACTCCACAGCCTCCCTGGGCAGCCTGTGCCAGGGCTCTGTCACCTTCACAGTCAAGAAGTTCCTCCTCACATGGAAGACTCAGGAAGAACTTTACATCTCAAAAACTGAACGGATAATATGTAGCACAGCATCTTCTACAACACTGAAGAATCGTGTGTGTGTATTTGTATGTGTGTGTGTATATATATATATATATATATAAAGAACAGAAAATAGGACTTCTAACCCATAGGTCCTGTGTGTTGCTTTTGTGATCCCTGGCATTACAAGAACAGGCACCTGCTGGCCTGGAAGAATGGTTCAGATTTGTTGAACTCCACAGGTCTGTAGAACACGTATTTCCATCCCAACAAATCCTTGAACTTTTAACGGTAGTCAAGCACAGACCCTCCTCCTTTCCTAAGCACCAGGGGATTCATTCTCACTGCATTCCAGGTCTGGAAAAAGGCTGGTCCCCACAGGCACAAAGAATGAGGCGGAGAGCTAACTGCTCTCTCTGAACTGCCTGCCTTTTTATCTCAAGAATTTTCTAGGCCTGTATCTGGGATGTCATTTATTTTAATCACCCCGTAGAGAAGGAGATGAGGCACCAAATAGCTGTTGGACTCACAGCTACAATGATTCAGCACAAGATCAGCCTTATTCTGTAAACAGGCAATGTAAGGGCTTCATTCTGCCGTTAATGAACTCAACATCAAAAGTCCCCTGACTTCAAAGGGTGACGGAGGAGGCTTCTACTCCAGAATGAAGCACAAGATACCCAGACAAGTGCTCAGCTACTGAAAGGCAACTGCTGCAGACAGTAATAACACAGACTTGACTTATAATGTAATTTCACTGTATATTTATGGCTTTGACATTTTGGCCGCAGAGCTATCTGCTGTGGAGATCCAAAAGGAATTCAGCAGGAGTTATAAAACACCACAGCAAAACAAATATGTCCATTGACTTCTTTTTCATTAAGTACCTCATTTACATAAGGGGACTAGAAGGCTTGTAAAGAAAATTACATAACAATATTTAGTTTCTTTCGCTATTTTTGCCTCCTTCTGCTGCTTGTTCAATACACTGCCTGTGTCTGCATCCAGGTACTTTCATTGCTCCAGCTGAACTGACTTGATTATTATCTAGAAGACAGATCACGTCTGCGATCTAACCAGAGGGTCTGATATCATTAATTAAAATGCAATTAAAATATAGACGAGGAAAGGAGAAAAAAATAGCAGTTGTATCAGCATCCCTTGAAATTATTGCTTAGTTCTTAGCACTGTAAATTGGGGGCTTGCAGCTCGTCTCTGGGGGTCAGGAAGCACTTACAAGGAAATACAGATTATGGCCGTCCTTTGATCTGAGCTGTCCCTGTAACTGCAGGGATCCCTGAGAGCTCCCGTGCCGGTGACGAGGCCTCCGACGCCCCGGCCTGCCCGAAACGCCGTTCCCGAGGCGATGGCACCACCTGCAGACCGGAGCAGGCCTCAGAGCGCCCAGGGCTGCAGCTCCGAGCCGGAACTGCCGCCTCTGCTCGCAGGGGCGGGCGCACCCTCCCATTCCCTGCCGGTCTCCCCTCCTGGTTCCGGGTCTCGGGAACCTTCTCTCCCCTTCTCTCCACACCAGATAAACGCCTCTCAATCCCATCCTCCCATGGGAGATAATAATCTGCTCCAGGCACATAGGCTTCCTCTTCCTCCCCATCAGTGTCCCGTTCCCCCCGTTTCAGAGCCCGTTGTGCAGCCGGGGCCGCAGTGATGAGCACCCATGTGCTCTGCCCCTCGTTGCTTTCTTGCCCAGCCAAGGCTGCTTCTCCAGGTCCCAAGTGCCTGAGGAGAGCACTGTACCACAAAACATACCACCTACCAGTTCAGTTACCTGAAAACTTGTTTGTTTGCTCAACCAATAAGTAGAAAACCACCTAACACCTGCAGACTGGTGGCTGATAATCACGGCAGAGACCAAACCCTGCCCTCCCACCAGCTGGGTGCCTGTGCTCAGCCTCTCTCCCAGTTTGCAAGAGAACATCAAGCCTTGCTCTACCCAACCAGCTCCAGCATATCCAAACTATCTTTATCTTCCATATTTTCTTCAACTTCACTGCTTCCAAGGAATGCAAATACTAGTCCCTTTTGAAAATGTGCAAGCAATAAGATTTATTGTGATTAGAAGTATGTGTGTGTACACATATTGGGGGACAACATATGGGGAACAAATAAATCTAAGAAAGATTTTCTCCTTTTTTTCTGTTTTTAAAGGAGATCAAACTTCAGCATTTTTTGATGTAGGGAGTCAAGCAGTTACAAAATCCATGTGTTATCTCCTCTTCTACACTACAGTTGCTGCCCTTCTGTTCCTACCTGCTTCTCACCCCAGCCTGAATGAAGCCATTGGCTCCTTCTCCAGCCTCTCCATGGCTGTGTCCTCCTTCAGACATGAGTCATGATGATACCTGAAGCAGTGACCAACCAGACCACTCTATTCTTGGTTCCCAATTGCTCCTAACAAGTATCCACAATTTTAATTTCAAAGAAGAGCTTATACAGAAGCTCCATAGAGGAAAAAGGAAGATGTGGTCTGACTGCTTTGACTAGATTTCATCACGAAAAGAAAAGAAAAGAAAAGAAAAGAAAAGAAAAGAAAAGAAAAGAAAAGAAAAGAAAAGAAAAGAAAAGAAAGAAAGGAAGATCTGTCAGCAGCATCAGGACCTGTTGCCTGGGTCATCATTAGCAGTTACCAGCAGAAAGCAATTCCTGATTCCCTGGAAGCCAAAACTTCAGAGGGCAGAGGGAAGTTGCTCAAGCGTCCATGGTGAAGGCAGCAGTTCTCAGAACGCAGCAGCAGGGCAGTGGCAGGACCCTCCTGAGCGGCAGCATCTCAGCAGATGTGTCTGTGCAGGGGCGGATGGGACCTCCTGGCGCCCGCAGCCTGCGGTGAGTGGTCGTGCCCCGCGCCGCGGCAGACGGCCAAGTTGCACAATCACTAGGAACGTTACTGGAGGATTGCTGTTCTTTTCAGAGTGCTTGAAAGTCCTCAAAAGTCCTATGAAGAGGGTAATTCTTATTTTCTTCACTTGACAAACTAGGAAAATTGAGATATAGAAAACTGAACTGACATACTCAAAATTCCACAGCACATCAGCGTCAAAGCCAAGATTATAACTAAGAGACCACAACTCCTGCCTTCAGAGTTAAGCTGCTGAATGACTTTACACTTCTATTTTATGTAAATTGGGTTATTCTTGAAGGAAGTTCAAAATGAACCTTGGCTCCTGAACTATCTTTCTGGTTCTGTGACTGCTCTATTTAACAAAAGTGCAAATGTGTAAACTAAACCTCATCTTTTTGACATGTGTGATTGCCAACTTTATTCAGTTAATGACTGTGGAGCTTTCTGAGCTCCTAGAATGAAAACTATTTAGCAGGAAATAGAGTTACTATTTTATATATTTATACATTTATTCAGAAGTATACATGTCAAGAATCGAGAAGTTTACTCAGGAGTGAGTAAAGCAGAAGGAAATGGGAAAGGGACTTTACAGAGTTTCTTACTCAGACCACACATGGTGAGTCTGGGAGCTGCATTTCTGCCTTTGTCTGGGAACACGTTGCATCCCTCTCCCTACATCTACTGCACTGTAAGATCCCAAGCAACAAAATTCAACCTGCTGCTCTAAAAGAGGCAAGAGTTTTGTGGGACAAAATGGAATAGATTCCTCTCATTTAAACTTCTGGAAATTCAGATACATCCCTAAGCAGATAATGATGTGGAAATTTCTTTTTATTCTACATGAAGTATACAATATGTGGGTTGCTCTAATGTATCTATGACTGTCTCCTATAAGCATACGGACTAAAATCTACCCCTTTGGTCTTTCACACCCCATTAGAAGAATGAAATGGATTTTGAACCAACTTATTTATGACAACAAAGAGGAAAATTGCTGTCAGAGGGTTAGAACTCTGGATGCAAAAATGAACAACAAAATCCATAGAGAGGGATAAGTTTTTGTACTCCCCCAACTTGTTTTTTCTCTTTCGCCATTTACCTGATCAGGCTCAAGCAGTCTATCAGCACCTGTGTGATAGCCTTTGATGTGATGCAAAATATACAACATGTATTTTTCATGGTTTAGAGCTCCAGTACTCTGGTGCATGCAGGGTTCATATGTCCTGTGACCTGAGGCTGCCTGAAGAACCTCCAGGCTCCAAGAGCTTGCACCGCTGCTCAGCTGGATGGGATCTGTGAAGGTAAAAGCACCTTTCAAGCAGACTCAGAATGGATCTCGCGATCATCAGAGACAGATAACGTAAAACTTGCTATGGCATGTGTGCCTGGGATAAACAAGGCATGTTTTGGAGAAAATGGACATGCAGAGCCACGCTAGCAGATGCTGGTATGTGGCCCCAGGCTTTACAATACTAGCAAATGATTCCTGCAGAGGTAAGCCTTGGTCTTGAGCTCACACATGCTAGAGAACAAGCAAATGAGGGCAGCCTGGTATTTCTGCAAATCTACAGACATGCAGAATGACATGCAAGGAACTCCACTTGGAGTGATTATGTATTAGTAGCCAATGACCAAGACAAGAGTAAGAGCCACTGGGTTCCAAGGAGCTGTAGCTGCACAAATTGTGGTGGTGCCTCTTGCATTCACGAACAGTCAGGGTGGAAAGACTCTTCCGATGATTGTGACTCATGAGGAACTGATTTTTTTTTGCTGTGAGTTCAATAATAATAATGCAGAAATAAGTCTTCATACTGAGAGAGGCATGAGATTCTTGCTCTTAAATTCTAAGCCTCTGTCTGTGACCTGCATCTCAGAGAAATTCGAGGCTCTGAAGACAAGAGATTCTTCTTAGCATAGTAAAATATGAGACACCTTTTCAGCAGATTTTCTCCACTCTAGTTAATTTGTGATGAAATTGGAAGAACCAGCAGCCTTCCAGTTTTAGTGGGCAGATGGAGATCGCAGAAGTGCTACTAGAAAAGAAGTAAAAATGTATTTCCCCCTGTACAAAAGGTAGAAATAACTTTTGAAGTAGCATATATGTAGGTGGAACAGAAACTTGTTGTGCTACATGCCCTAGCACTGCCATAAATCTGACTCTTGAGCAGCAGGAGACCAGCAGGTCATCAGCATCATTTATCATACCAGTGTCAAAGCACATCATCAGTCCTCAACATCGATAATACAGAGCTCTAAGTAACTAAGTATCTCTCTTATTCTGAAAGTTTCACCCCTAGAAAGTGTAGCCTTTATGCACAGAGGAGGACAGATTGTGCTCCTCCCCTGGACAGGACAGATCACAAAAGTATCCCTCTATGTGGTGAATAAAATCTCCACTTCGTTTTTACATGGCCCTATGCAGGCATGTCCCAGGAAAACCCAATGAAAATGAGCCTTGTCCTTACCATAAAAAGCTACAAACAAAAAGAGAATGAAAAGAATGAAAAACAAAACCTACAAGTAAGTGAATAATAATAATTATTATTATTATTTCAATAATTCATTAATTACCTCAATAATTTCACTGCAGAGAAGCAAGAGCTCAGACTGCAGAGTATTCTTGGTACCAGGTAGGATGGAGCATGGGCAAATGCTGCATTTAGAGCTAATGTTTCCATGTGAAATGACTGCAAGCACACGCTTTGCTTGAGAGTATGTGTACTGAGAGAAATTCCTGCATGGTAGTTGGGATTACATGGCATTAACACTAGTCCAATCCAAACAGAACAGTGATGGAAACCTAGTAAAAATCAGAACTTTTATCAGAACAGCAAAACAGGTTAGGAATTGTGATTTATACTGACGCAGTTATCAGTATGGGCCCGAAAGCAGACACATATATTGTGGTGCAGCAGCACTGTACATGCTCTACTTTGCTTGAGAAATTCCAGGCTCAGCAAAGCATTTTTTCCTCTCTTTTTGTGAATATAAACAGCTTCCACAATCACCATTATTACCTTTACACATTCTTTGATAAAACTGCATTGGCAAAACATTCCTAGGGAAGGCATTAAGTTAACAGCAATTTCAGACATACTTGATCTCTAGTAACTCACCTGTATCAGCCATCAAAAAGGAATACTGCACTTTTTTAGGATTAGATTTTCTTAGGATTGGATTTTTAGGACTGAAGCCATTACTGTTTCATTAGTTGTTGTTTTCACAACAACGTTCTAAATATTTAGACAGAGGTGTCTGACATTAGGATTTTTACTCTTATGGCCTTTTCCTCTCTGACAACAGGGGCCTCAGAGACCAACTTACCTTCCTGAACTCGTAAGCTTGTTCTTAACAGGTCACTAGAGGGCAATGAAGGCTTCAAAAATTAAGCAGGAGGTTTATTATGAGGGTTAGGCTTCCTAAGAAATCCTCCCCTAATTCACTATTAGTTAAGTCAGAGTGGTTTAATGAATACGAGTACCACCTTTAAATCTACAAATTGTGAAATGGCCTACAGCAGTCACTGTAAGGAATAGAGCCTCTGCAGGAGGAAGCTGTGAGGACATAGATATTCTCTACTTCCCTAACCTTTGCAAAAGTAGAATCTTTTCTGTTTGCCATTTATCCCTCAGATGCAGGTCCCCAGCTCTCCCCACATCTCTTAATGTAAAGTAGTGGGAATAGCAGTCTGGCTGAGGCAGGGCCACATCTTGTTTGACATAAAATGACAAGCAATAGCCTCCTGGATAAATGCCTCCGCTGCTTGGATGTGAAACAGCTGGAAAAGAGCAGCAATATTCTATAAAACCAAGCTAAAAGACACAAATAAGATATTGGTTTCTTTATGATCACCACTCACATGCCCTGGTCACCTTCAGCTCTCTTCTATCCCTTTACTCCTCCGTGTTCTTTCCGCCTTTCTCGGGCTGTTTTTGCTGGACCACAAATGAAGAGTTGGACAAGGATCACTAAAAACACTGGGCAAAATATCCCTCTGTGGCTGGCATATAAATTGTTCACCAAGCCTCCCTTTTTCATGCAGCTTCTTTATTAACTTACACATAACGACAGGATCTATGGATAGAATTGGAGTGAAATATCTGCCACTGTTAATATCTACAAGTAAGCCTGTAGAAAGCTCTAGAGCACAAAGCTCTAGAGCCCCTGTTCAGCTCCAGTAAACTGTGGAGAAAATGTAACTGTGAAGTGACTGCTCACCTGCCAAGAAGGGTGACCAGGACCAGGACCTGACCAGCAGTATCTCTGTATGTTGTGTTGTCGTCGCATTTGTTTCAAGTCCAGTCAGATCCCAGCAGAACATGGGGTTCTGGCAAGGAGAAAGCAGAAAGGAAAAAGCATTACTAACCAGCAAAAGAAAAAGCTTTTTGGTAGAAGAGTACATTAAAAAGAGTACCTGGTTTGCTATTATTTTTGGTGTTGATTTTAAACTGCTTCCTATTTTCCTCAACACTGTATTTATTATTTTCCTCAAAGTACCACACAGTAGAATGAGAGAAGAACATGATCACGCCACAACTACATTATACACAGGTTTAGCTGATGAGTTAAATAAAATGGGAAGAACTGAAGGTGTGGAAGGCAATGGTAAATCAGAGGATAATTTGAAGTCTAATTAGTGACCTCTGATGTCCCAATTATCTGGCCTAAGAAGAAAGCCAAACAAAATCAGAGTATCTATGGCACAGGGATTATAATAGCCTGAGGGAAGAAAAATATTCCAACTTAATTAAAGCTCTTTTCTAAGCAGGCAGGTGAATCCACACTGAAATTGCTGAACTTAAAAACTTATTTTTAATCTTAATTTAATTGTTTATATGTCTAATTTAAAAGGCTTTAATTTTTCAACTTTTAGAATTTAAGCAAATTAATTCAGTGCAAAGAAATTTGAACTCAAATTCTCTTGCAATCCATTTACCTAATAGTTTTTACAGGCAAGTCAGACTGGTGACTTGCAGAGCCCTTGAGAAATAAGTACCTGGGAACAGACTGTAAGAGCTAGAAGCTTGCAGCTGATCAGACCACACGCAATTGTACGACACACGCATTCACCATGGGCTGCACGGTATTTCTACAAGCTGGGACAGTTTCAAATCACCAAGAGGAATTATATAGGTGACTGTGACACAGATCTATGATATAGGTTACATTTATATAACGCATTATCTGAAACTACCCCCACAATTTCACAAAACGTCCTTCCCAGGATAACCTAGGGGAAAGCATTCATCTGATAATGAAAAATAAAAACAAAAGCCCAACTATACAAAATGACTCTCTCAGCTCAGAGCTGTGCCTTGCACGATGGTTTAAACATCAGTAAAACTATATTCAAGACTGTCTGAAACCACCACTTCCTGCAAGAGTCAGACAAAATTGCTTTGAAGGACCATGTCATTGCAGCAGTGGTCTCATAAAGACAAATCTCACACAGTCAGACCCAAAACATGCATCGGAATCCGACGGGAATTCTGGGGAGCGGGTTCCCAGGCAGGAGGCGGCTGTTGATCCGGCGGGAAGGCTGCGTGCGGCTCAGGTCTGCGGAGGGCTCTGCGTGGGAAGAGGTGAGCAGATCAAACTGCTTTTGAGCACAAGCCACAAAATAACTGTATTTGCTGAGTGTGGTGTTGTGACCAGAGGGGGAACCAGGAAACCAAATACACTAAACCTGAGTGCCAGAACATCATTACAGACCAGGAAAGAAATGCACGGTATAAGATGAACCATCCGGTTTCTGAGGCAGAACAGGAAACCCTGTGAAACTAAATGGGAGGCAAACAGTGAAAATCTTCATTTCCCTCAGCTTAACCTGAGAGATCCAGCTACTTATTGTCATCCAAGCCGCTCGTGGTAAGAACACTGACAAACACATTTAGAAGACCTGATTTACTTCCTCCCTGCCTAAATATTATGGTAAAGAACATGTTGCATCCTATGAAATTCTCACATGTCATTTACGGATCAAGATGATCATTCGGTTTGCAGTGTTTATCACTCCATTGCGTGATGTCCCTCTCATCAGTATTTTCCTGTAACTGATGAAGAGTTGTTGAGATTTTTATAGCGACACTTCTCAGCTTCTTGCGTAAGCTTAGGTTGACTTCTTAGTATAAAGCCAGGGACCTTTTTAATTCTTAAAAAAAGAATAGCATTTCATTATAATAGACACTGACATGTCGGGTACTATCATAATAATAATGGGAGGGAAGTGGCAAAGGGCTAAAAATGAAAGAGCTCAGGACAGAAACAGAAACCTGAGCAGTTGTGGGAAA